AAATTGCCTCCCTCTTAAATAATTTTTATTTGGATTTTTGTTTTGGCGCCAGGGACTAAACTTAGGGCTTAGTCCTATACAGAAAGGTCCGTGAAATCTCAGGTTTCATATATTAGTCATTCTTGTCAATGGGCATTAACACGACTTAATTATAAAAAGAAAATGTTCATCCACGTAATGTGGAGACTTATCTGGCCATATTCATGAATGGATCCAAGCTTTGAGAAATGGAGCCACAAGCACGCAAAGCCAGTTCAAGTTTATAAGCAAGGAAAGGACATGATGGGGTTTGCCTTTGATAAATAATTCACCATCACGAATCACCTTGGACCGACGGGAACGCATGCCAGACAGCAAAAACACAGTCAGCGAGAACCCATCCACAAGATGCGGGTGAGAGAGGAGGAACTGGGAGGATGGAAATGACAGGAGTGGAGGGGAGGGTCTGAATGTGAAAAATACTAAGGAGGTAATTCACAGGAAATGGATTCTTCTCTGAAGCTTCCAGAAGAAATGCTGTGCCGCCAGCCCATTTTGTACTTCTCACCTTCAAACCGACGGACACTGAGGGCAGAGCAGAGAGGAAGGGTTGGCTGGCAGCACCTCCACGGTTCTAGCACGGGTAGTGCAGCAGCACTGCCCATGAGTCAGGAGAGGACATGCAGGGGGCACAGGCTAGGGGAAGCAGAGTGCAGGGAAAACGGTCACGTGGGTCTGGAATATGTTGCCCTGGAAGTGTCTGTGGAGCACTCGTAAGGACCCGGATGTGTGTGCCTGAGCACCTAGGAACTGGGGAGCCTCTACAGCAGTGCTGGCCATAGAAATGGAATGCTGAGATGTCCGAAGAGCCACATTAGAAAAGTAAAAGGGGACAGGTGAGATGAATTTGAACAATATGCTTTAATAACCCAACAACATACCCTAAACATCCTATTCCAGGATGAATAAGGACTGGTGGTACAGCTCAGTGGCAGAGTGCTTGCCTAGTGTGAGGTCTTGGGTTCCATCCCCACCACTAGAAAAAAAAATCAATATAAAATTTATCAAGACATTTTACCTCCTCTAAGTCTTTGAAATCCAATGTATATTACCCTGGAGCATTTTCATTTTGGATGCTTCCAGCACTCCAGAGCCCCAGTGGGGAGCACCTTCTACATCAGAGAGTGCTGTTCTCAAGGCCACAGGCAATGCAAGAAGTAGAGCTTGGGGAAAAGCAGACAAGTCCGATGAACATCAGAGTCTGCAGCTGTGTGCACAGGCACACCAGACAGCGAGAGAGGAGACAGCCAAAAATTACTCAGAAGCAGTGAGAGTGACAGGAAGAGAAGGAGGAAAGAGCTGACAGGTCGAGAGCATTTATAAAAGGAGAATGCAAATGCAGAATACTACACTGGGCTCAAATGCTAGGGGGAGAACACCCCACCCCAGCCCTACCCAGCCAAAGTGTGAGGGATCCGCACTTCAGACAGCTCAGGCTCAAACCCTAGCCTCACTGCTCCCCCGGGCCTCTGGGGCAGCACTGTCCACACCAGGGACCTCTGATGCCACCGCAGCCGTAGGGCACAGTGTTCAGCCTGCTGGCCGCATCCCGCTCCAGCCTGCCTCCTGGTGATCCAGGCTGCACTACGGGCCTTAAATCTGATTTACCTCCAGTCCCAGGAAGGGAAAGACAGGGGAGCTGACACCACCAGGCCAACCTGAATCTGAACCACGCTCATACAGGAGTAAGCCAGTGCACAAATGTAAGGGAGTGGCTTTGATGTGTTGCTACTGTGACAAATTACCACGATCTAGTTGGCTCTCCTGTGGACCAGAGTCGGGCAGGGATCTCACTGAGCGAGACCAAGGGCCTGGCATCCCCGCCACAGGCTCTGGGGAGACTCTGTTCCCTTGCCAGGTCCACCTCAGCCGCTGCCTGCTTTCCACAGGGACCGCAGCGGCCAAGTCATCTCCCGCAACCACCCCTCTGGCTCTCTCTGCCACTCTTCAGGAGGCTTGCGATTACCTTGCGGCCACCTGGCTAATCCAGAACAACTCTAGACAGAGCCGGAAGAACCTGAGAGCCCAAGGGAAGTGGCTCCCCAGCTCGGGTTCCGGTGAGCTCTGCGGGGGGACTGAGACAGGTCAGTGGGAGAAAGATCGACTGGGGGAGCAACCGGGGGAATGTGAGGGTAAAGCAGTAGCACACTGGGGAGCTTCATCCAGGGCAAAGGCAGGTGGGAGCGGAGGTCTGCTGGATTATACGGGCCCCAGGGGGTGTCCCGGCTCAGCCAAGCAGTAACGGTCGGGCTCTTGTTTCAGGGCTCGGGGACAGAGCGCTTCCCTAGGATGCAGGAGGCCCTTGGTTCCATCCCCAGCCACACTCCAAAACAGGGGGAAGAGACGGAGACACAGACAAGCAGGTAGGCTTCAGAGGCAGGGAGGCTGCGGGCAGAAAGCCTTGGTTCTGGCCACACTTGCTTCCTACAGACTCCGCAGGGCTCAGCCTCTGCGCTCAGACTTTCCACAGCCAGGTTCCGCAGAGCTCTGTCCAAGGTCTCCCTCGCTGTTTCCGGAGCGCTCCGGGACAATCCCCTCTTCCTCCAAGGCTTCAGACTCCATTTACATGCTGATAGCCCCGGATTTGCATCTCAAACCCGAGCTGGATTCCCGGACTCCTGGAATGGCCCGCAGGCCAGGAATTTAACTCACAGCCAGATTCATTTGCCTTCCAGCAATTCCTACCTCAGAGGTATCACCCAGCTCTTTCAAACTGGAAATCTGGGGGTCGTCTGAGGCCTGTCTCCCTTTCACAAGCTAAATCACACCTCGGCCTTCCTTCCCCGTGGTGACGTTACCCCTGCCTTCCGCTCAAGGGCAGGCTTCCCGGGTGTGACAACCTCTTAACCAGACATGACGCCCCGTTCTTCCTCGGAGGGGCGTCCTCCGACATAGTTACCGAGCTAAACCACTCCCCAGTGTGACACAAATTTTCACAAAGCGTCCTGTACATCCCGGCTGTGTCACCTTCCCTGACCCTTAAAATCTTTTTTTCTGTGAATTCTTTTTCTTAAAAATCTTACACTTTCTGGGCCGAGTATATATAGCTCAATGGCACAGCGCCTGCCTGGCAATCTCAAGGTCCTGAGCTGATTCCCGGTACCTAACCCTGCCCCCGCAAACAAAACAAAACAAACCCTTCACGTTTTCCAAAATGCACCATCCACTTAAAATAGGAACGAGCGTTAAGGTTCCTTTGTCCCTTTCTCCTAGGTCCTGTCCCCAGGTGATTCCCAGGCGAGTCCAGCTTTGTCAGCCACGTGGTCACGCGGCTCTTCCGCCGAGTGTAACGCAGCCCGTTACAGAACCCGGGCGCCGCTGTGTGCCCTCCCAGCTTCCCGCAAGGTCGGAGAAAGGCCGCCACGGCCAGAGCAGCCAGCGTCTATCTGGCGTCCGCACCCCGACGGAAGCCTCAAGAAGCCGGCAAACTAGTTTCAAGAGCGCAGCGGACATCCGCAGCGTGCAGACCGCAAAGCACTCACGATGCCTCCTTCCGCTCCCCCCCAGTATTTCTCCCCCAGGATGTCTGGAAAATGCTGATCCCTTAGGAAGTTTGGTGGGGCCGCGGCCGAGCGGCTCAGCCCTCGGGGAGGCGCGGGGGCTCGAGGGGGAGCCTCCGCGCGCGGGGCACGGAAAGCGCACACCCGGCGGCGGCAG